GTGTGTGTGTGTGTGCAGCCATGGGTGTGCACGGGCGCACAGGTGAGCAGGGATGAGCACTCACACTGGCATTCGTTGGCACTGTCGGTGGTGGCTGGCCGCCACGGCTGCTGGTGGAAGCCCGGGCAGCAGCGGTCACAGGAGCCCCCGCACGTGTTGTGTTGGCACGCACACTGCAGCCTGTGGGGACACAGCCCACGGGCTCACACTGCTGCCACCGGGCCTGCCTTGCTCCACCCAGAAGCAGAGGCCTGTAGACCTGGGGGTGGCTGCCCCTTCGCCCTCACCCCATTGTTACTGACCGCCCTAATAAGGTCAACTGTGAATCCCCCCCCTCCCCGTTAAGGGCACAAGCTTGCCTGCTCTATCTGAACTATCAGACCAAAGCATCTGCTTGGACCCTGGCACCCCCACTCCCCCAGTGGCTCTTCCCCCAACCTCGGGGAACAGGCAGGGTCAGAGTCCTCTCTGGACAAGGATATGGGGAGGGTCGGGGCACTAGAGGGGACACAATGTCTGAGACAGAAGAACCTGGGAATGGCCCCTCATGGAGGGTGGCACTGGGGGAAGGGTGGGTGGTGGGCTGGGGACGAGGTATCTGGGGCAGGTATCTCATGGTCAGAGCGAACAGCCTGTGCCTGCTGGTCAGTCCAGAGCGCAGTCCCTCAGCATCGAGCTGGGCTCTCCCTCTGTGGCCAGCCCCTGGGAGAGGGACACACTGCCAACCCTTCTAGTGCCCAGATCCCACGAGACAGGCTGCCAGCCACCCCATGCTTCCAGAGCCCTCCCCCAGGGACAAGTGGCCAAGAATGGCTTCCTCTTCCAGCTGGGAGTGGACACCGGGTAGGACAGCTGGAATTCTCCTGGCTCCGTGGGCAGGGGGACAGCTGGTTAGAGATGAGGGCTGAGGTTGGAGCTGCCTGCTACTCAGAATTACCCAGAACATTTGTGCCAAAATCCCACTCCCTGGCATACATCTCCCGGCAACTCAGCCAAGGTGGTGGCAGGAATGACCGCCCGTGTCCAGGCTCTGCCCTCGGCTCCTGGCCCAGGCTACGAGCTGCCCATATCCTTAGCGGGACTACAGTCACCGGTCCACATGGAAGGTTGGAGATCTTCAGAGGCCTGTATCTGGTATATGAATATTCAGTAACCTACATCTCTGACGTGTTCTAGGGGCCTTGTGTCACTTAGAAAGAGAGTAGACTAGATGATTACGTGTGGAATCAGTCTGATGGAGCATGGCTCTTTAAAAGGCAGGGGAAATAAATAAATGCGTAAATAAAGGCGGCAGGGGAAGAAATGCAATCAGAAGAGAAAGTAACACTGGACACAACACGCACACACCTGCCGGGGTCGGATTTCTAGGGAAAGAGAGAGGTGTTGCCCGGATGGCAGTACCTGGGAGATCTGCAAATGCCCTTAAAATCACTCAGGAGGAACTCTAGAAACACAGCACACACAGGCGTCACAGAGACAGCCCGAGAAAGGGATTTCCAAGGGAGCAGTGCAGGGAACGTCATTTAGTGGAGCAATCCAGGAGAGACTTAAAGTCCAAGTGCCAGGAATGACGATGGGTATAACATAAGAAAGTAAACATTGCAAACAAAAACTATACACAGTGCTATGAAAACAACGCAAACACAGGAAAAGAGTCGATCAGAACGTCTGTAAATGAAAAACAAAATTGCTGAAGTTAAAAATTCGCTGGATGGGTTAAACGGCAGATTAGATATGGCTAGAGAGAGAGTCAACTGGAGGGAGAGCCGAAGAAACCCTCCAGACGGCAGTTTAGAAGACGATGGAAATGATAAAGGTTAGAAGACAGGGAAAAAATACGTGTCATTAAAAGGGGGAAAGGTGAAGGGGAGAAGCAACAGGCAGAGACTGCTCATGGTCAAGAATGACCGTGGATGACCAGCAGCACGTATTCTGATTCAGGCGACACGGCTCGGGACCAGCGTCAAATAAATCCGCCCCGACACGTTAGAGTCAAGTCTGCAGAACATCAAAGGCAAGAAGACCCGTTTTAAAAACCCATAAAGTGGGCAGGCAACCCACCTAACACCAACAAACAACCCCAGGAACAACGGACTCACACCCACGGAGATAATGAGCCACCATCCAAAGGGAGGACAAACGGGCCGCTTCCAAACAATTACCACGGTTGGGGAAGAAGCAAAGGGCGTGGTAGTTGCCGTGAGCGGCGAGGAACACTGAACAAGGGCTGGGAAACAAACGGAGACTGCGGGCCTGGCGGTGAGACGGAGTCACTGGGCAGAAACCACACAGGCGGGCACGTGGCTATGTTCTGGGGCCTCTGTGTCTGCAACAAGCCCGTGGCAGGACGGATTTGGTCGAGTGAAGCACACTTCCTTACAAAGGAGGGGATAAACCCAACCAGGAGCGGCAAGTAGCAATGAAACAAACCACGGGCACCTGTCCAGATGTGGAAGTGTAAGGCCACGGTCTTGTGAGACAACTCAGTTCTGTGGCAGAGCGTCACTCACAAATTCTGTGTCCTGCACCCTAGTGAACTCTTACAGGCTTCTCAGCAGCCATTCAGACACACACGGTCTCTTTTCGACCAGGGGCAAGAGTCCTTGGTAATGAAAACCTTCAAGAAGAACGGCACTGACGAGGCGGGTAGTCTACGTGACCCCACCCTCAACCACCCTGAGATCAAAGAGCTAGCTGGTGCCCACCTACTACCATCGGTCCTTCCGGCCAGGGGGACAAAAGGTCCTAGTTAGCATGGGAGAAAAACACAGGCCCAAACTCAAATCTTTAAAAAGACCAGACCAACTGCACTGAGACCCAAGGATTCTGAGACCATTGGCCTAAGGCCCTTTTTAAAAATGAAAATCGAAGTCCTTTTCTTGACATAGCAGAGTGACACACAAAATGAAGGCTGCTACCTGCTAGAGCGGTGCTCGGCTAAAACTGTCTGTCAGAGTCTAAAAGGTGGCCATTTAATCCAAAGCAAAGACGGTGAGCAGCTCTGGGGCAGGGGAGCTGGAGCAGTGGGAACGGGACCACCAGACCCAGGAAGGAGAGTTGCTGACCGGCTGGCCGACCATGTGGACAAATGGTGCTGCATCGTTGGCCAACTGGTATGGGCACCGCCAAATGGAAACAAGTTCTGTGTCGGCATCAGTATGGTTTTAAGGAAGAGAAACCACAAATGTGAGTTCCCAGCAGACACAGGAGAGCAAGCAGCAGGAAGGACTTACAATTTGGGGGGGGGGGGCAGGTGGCGGGGTGTGAGCCGGTGAGATGTTGGTGAAGGTGCCGGTGATGGCAGAGGTGGGAGTGGCAGTGGGGGGAGGTGGTGGCGGTGGTGTTGGAGGCTGTGGGAGATCATGAAAGTGGCGGCAGTGGTGATGATGAAGCCGGTGATAGAAATGGCAGTGGTGACAGTGGAGACGGCGGTGGTGGCTGAGGTGTGGGTGGTGGCGGTGATTGACGGCTCTAATGGTGCCGCGGCGATGGCGGTGGGGTAAAGTGACGAGAGACCAGCTAGCTGGAGCAGAGGCAGAGGTGGGCAGGCTAGTGTCCAGAATGTGGCTGTGTGACAGGCCGTGGGGACAGTGGCTCTGTTGGTGTGTACGGTGCTGGGAGGGATGCAGCCCTCCAGCCCTGAGGCAAGCTGAGCTCAGCCCACACACTGGTGCACGGGCACCAGGGCACGGGGGTGCCCCCTGGCTGGTGAGGACAGGCCTAGCTCGGCGGTGGCGAGCGGCCCTCTTCTCTGAGGTCAACTTGGCCGCCCCAGTGGGCTCCCTTCCCAGCACCGCGCACTGTGCTCCCATGTGGCACCTCATTTCCCAGGACAAATGAGCTGTACTTGAGCCGAGTGGCCTGAAGCCCAGGCCCACAGACCGCTCCCCTCCCCCGGGCTGTGCCCCTCTGGCTCTGCTTGTGTCTGAAGAGGTCGGTCCGTGTTAGCCCACTCTGACCAGGAGTGGAGGGGGTTGCAGGCCACAGATCCATGCCAAGCAAGGTGAACAGAGGCCCGAGTCCCAGTACAGGGGATGGGGTTGCATCCTGCCTAGCTGGCCAGTTTCCTCCGGGAGACCCGGGGCTCCTCGTCGGCTTGAGCAGGTGCTTCCAGGACTGGGGAGGTCCTACCTGAAGCCCCCATTGCGGGGAAGAGAGCCAGTGAGCGTCGGGCATGGCCCACAGCTGTCTCAGGTGAACAAACAGGCGCACGTGCCAACAGAGCCAGGCCTGCCCTGGGCTTTGTGCTGGACGCTGACGGTGGCATCTGGCCTGCCCGTGCCTCTGGGTGGTCCTGCTGGCAGGGCCACTCAGGGCACACATCTTAGGGAGGCCTACCAGGAATGCAGATTCCAGGCCCCGGTATGCTGTGGACCTGCAGGGTGCTTGCCCAGTGTGGGGGGCCCTCTGGCTCAGATAGCAGGGGGCAGACCCAGCCTGGGGTCCCCACGCTTGTCCTCAATGCTGACCTGGGCCCTACCTTTGCCCTGAAGGAAGGCTGGCCAGGCAGGGGACACTGTGGCCTACCAGAGGGCGTGGAGGATAGGCTCTGGCTGCCTGGGCAAGGGTCTCCCTCCACCGCCAGGGCTGGAATGAGAGCCCACCTCTTCAAGGAGCAGGCCACGCAGCTCCAGGGGGGTAGTCAGTACAGGTCACCGAGAGCAGGGACCTGGCGGGCGCTGGGCCAGCAGGGGCAGCGGTGTGACTAGTGTCTTACCTGTAGGGGTTCCGCGGGTCTTCGGTGTCACAGGCGTCCGCGTGGCCGTGGCAGACGCAGCGGCCCCCGATGCTGATGTCCTTGACGCTGTAATAGTACTGCAGCCGCGGGCCGTCAGCCCCACGCCCCGGGGACCCGCCTCCCGCCAGGACTGGCCCCCTCGCTCACCCGCCGCGTGACCGTGGGGTCCCGGAGCGCCTTGCCCATGAGGTGGCCCAGCAGGGTGTTCGTCCGCAGGAAGCGCAGGCGGATGTTGGTGGCCTTGGTGAAGTCTCGCAGCAGCGGCGAGTACGAGAAGTTCCTGGCGCCCGGCCGCCCGTTCACCAGGGACACCACGATCTGCAGAGGCGGGGCTCAGCATGCGCCCAGCCCCTGCCCGCCGCCTGCCCGCCAGGCCCCGCTTGCCTCTCCGTTCTCCAGCGGCACGATGCGCGAGTACTCGGTGGTGCAGACGGCCGTGTCGTCGCTCGCGATGCGGTCCAGCGTCTGCGGCCCGAAGCGCTCCAGGCAGTCTCTCTTGGAGGCTGAGGGTGGACTCCAGGGTGAGGGGCGTGGCCACAGCAGGCCACGAAGTTTGGAGGGGAGGGACACACAGCCCAGGCCCACCCATTCGGAGAGTCCCCATTGGCCCAACCAGATGGGTCTGGTGGGAAACCAGCCCGAGCCAGCCAGGACTCTGGTGCCAGGATGGGAGCCCCCCTCCCAGGGGAGCGCCCCTCCCACCCCCTGCAGGGAGGTGCTGAGGCAAGAAGCCAGATCCAGACCCAAAGGGCAGTTGCTGGAGAGGGAGAAGGAGGTGGGGGGATGTTGGAGAGGGAGAAGGATGGGGGGGTAGTGATCTATTGGGCATCTATTGGGCATTCCCAGATGCCCCGGCAGAGGCCTGACCCCCAAGCCCTGGACAGTCCAGCAGGCAGGGTTGCCCTCTGGGGCCAGTACTCACAGGCAAAGTATTGCCACGGCTGGTAGGTGAGGCCAAAGTCCGTGGAGCGCTCCAGCACCCAGAGGTCCGGCCG